AAGAAAAAAAGGGGAAATTATGTAACAATTGTCTGTGACGAGTAAGAGTGTAATGTTGGGGAACACGCTTTGTGGAGGGAAGTTTCCTGTCAACGTCAACTGGAGATTCTTTTCTTCTTTCTTTCATCTTTTACAGTGTATTTATTTGATTGTGTCTCAGCAGTATATGAGTTGCGTTTTTGTTATTCAAGGCATATAAAAAAACTGTTAGCAGTCATACCAATGACAACACCGCAAACATAAATATTTTGTTGAAGTTGCACATTTTCCTGCACTTCCAGTAACAAACTGCATGTGACATATTCTTTCAGAACTGGTATGCATGTGTATATATGTGTCTATGTCCATATGTGTGCGTGTGTGTATACAGGCTTAGCTATATGGCCTATGAGGAAACATTTTGACTTAATCTGAAAAATGCAGGAAACATTCTCGTTTGTAACAAAAATGACATAAATAAAGTTTTTACGAGATATATATATATACATCGAATGTAGTGAAAATGACCTCAGAGGAAGCTTAGCAGAAGCTTTAAGATAATGTACATGTACGATTAGCGTAATTTTAAACTAATTTTTAAACATGCTAGAAATGGGATAATGTTACAGAGAGGTCTTCTAAAGGAGGATAATGACAGGCTCACTGAACATTGTCCAGTGACAACAAAAGTCTATGCTATTGCCCTTTATGAGTGAATTTGTGTAGGTTAGTATGGCTTTGTGTGCCCTTGTAACTTTTTTTGTAGCTCAGATAAAAATGTATACCTTAGGATGAAGACATCTGTCATATGGCTGAATGTAAATATGTGATTGAGTGCTGTTTCATGTCATCAATCCATGAGCTGATCAAACAAAAACATGATTACAAGAAACGTAGCATGACTGTAAATACTTTAAGAGCTTTAATGTATAGCCCTACAAATCAGGCAATGTTTATGTTAACCCAAGAACACAACACGAAAGTTAATCAAAATTCATTTTAAAAAGCTCTAAGCGAATATCATCAACTTCCCTGTCAACACATTCTCATGTGCAATTTTCCACATGGTTTTTACTACACATGATGATGATTTCTGGGTTTTTCTTTTAACTCATTTTCTCTTCTCTGCCTGTAAGCATTGTGATTAATGTGGCGTTTGATTTCCTGTGAATGTGAAATACCATTTGAGTGGGAAGATTCAGATTACTTTGAATTACACATAGCTTGTCTCGATTTCTTTGAAAGGTTTTACCAAACCCCAGACATCCTGTTTACATCAGTCTTGGGAATAAAATGTGAGTCTCTTTTTCTCTTTCATATTGTCTCATAATATCTTTTTGGCATTCTCTCGGATCATGAATTCTGTGAAATATGGACTCAAGGCCACTTTAAAGATCGTTAATGTGTCTCTCTCAGCTGTTTTTACACTGTCATGATAGAGATAAAAGGTCAAGTGACAAGGCACAGCAGAGTTGAAGAACATGGCAGATGTGGTTTTAGGGTAACATGCTGCAGTTCTCTTAATGACAACTGGACAATGAGCTCTTTTGTGTTGTAAGTGGGCAAAAGTACAGAGCTCATCTTGTTTTGTGCGTGTGTTTTGTCGTGGTTTAAAATGTATATATGTAGGCATTTGTGTGTGCTCATGTGTTAGTGCTTAGTGTACATTTTATGTATGTGTATGTATCTGCGTGTGTATCTTGTTTGTGCATAAACTTGTTTTGTTCCTCATTATTGTCTATCATAATAATTAAGATTTGTAATGTTTTTGAAAGAAGCCTCTCACCAAGGCTCCACTTATTTTATCAAAATACAGTAAAAACAATTACAATGTAAAAAAAATGTTCCATTTGAAAATATTTAGAAATGTATTTTATTCATGTGATGACAAAGCTGAATTTCAGCAGCCATTGCTCAGGTCTTCAGTGTCACATGAACCTTCAGAAATCATTCTAATTAGCTGATTTGAATATGCTGAATTCAAACTGGCCATATAGTTTGTATCATAGTAATGTTGCATACTGTATCATAATAATGTTAATGATGATAATAATCTATTTCACTTTTTGATTTCTGTTTATTTTTGTACTATTTTGATACTGTAGGACCACCACTTAAATCTTTGGCGTAGAATCTAGGCAAACCCAGTTGAAATGACTGATATAAACCACACTAGGTATTTGAACTCATGAGAGAAGCCACCAGATGACAGAAAACCACTTACTTGCTGTATTTCTGATCACATGTTTGAAGTATACAATCTTTATAACTTGTGTAAAGTGACTGACTGTATCTGTGTCCTAAAAACCTAGACAGACAGATGACCAGACATGATCTGCCCACAAAAAATATTTTCACATAAGAGCTTTTTACCATCTAACACATGAATGCCATATAACAACAACATAACTGTTTAACCATGTGACTTTGCCAGATTTGAATGTTTTTCAGAGATTGTTTCTCAACCAATACAAACAATACTTTGCGACTGACCTACAAATCAGAGTTTGTGGTTGTTAAGTTGACCCTTACCACTTTTTTGCACAATTTTGTATACTATAATAACTGTATTATTATTTGTTTTATGCAATTTATATGTAAATCAGCATGCTTACACCATTTTCCACCAAGTTTGAAAATCAATTACAACAATTGACCAGTAGAGGTCGTTTTTGTTTCTGTTCATGTAAGTGTGAAACACCTGACAAAACCTTAAAGGGGTCATATGATGTTGCTAAAAAGAACATTATTTTGTGTATTTGGTGTAATGAAATGTGTTTATGCGGTTTAAGGTTCAAAAAACACATTATTTTCCACATACTGTACATTATTGTTTCTCCTCTTTTTGTACTATTTTGATACTGTAGGACCACCACTTAAATCTTTGGCGTAGAATCTAGGCAAACCCAGTTGAAATGACTGATATAAACCACACTAGGTATTTGAACTCATGAGAGAAGCCACCAGATGACAGAAAACCACTTACTTGCTGTATTTCTGATCACATGTTTGAAGTATACAATCTTTATAACTTGTGTAAAGTGACTGACTGTATCTGTGTCCTAAAAACCAAGACAGACAGATGACCAGACATGATCTGCCCACAAAAAATATTTTCACATAAGAGCTTTTTACCATCTAACACATGAATGCCATATAACAACAACATAACTGTTTAACCATGTGACTTTGCCAGATTTGAATGTTTTTCAGAAATTGTTTCTCAACCAATACAAACAATACTTTGCGACTGACCTACAAATCAGAGTTTGTGGTTGTTAAGTTGACCCTTACCACTTTTTTGCATAATTTTGTATACTATAATAACTGTATTATTATTTGTTTTATGCAATTTATATGTAAATCAGCATGCTTACACCATTTTCCACCAAGTTTGAAAATCAATTACAACAATTGACCAGTAGAAGTCGTTTTTGTTTCTGTTCATGTAAGTGTGAAACACCTGACAAAACCTTAAAGGGGTCATATGATGTTGCTAAAAAGAACATTATTTTGTGTATTTGGTGTAATGAAATGTGTTTATGCGGTTTAAGGTTCAAAAAACACATTATTTTCCACATACTGTACATTATTGTTTCTCCTCTACGCCCCACCTTTCTGAAACGCGTCGATTTTTACAAAGCTCATTGTTCTGAAAAGCGAGGTGTGCTCTGATTGGCTAGGTATCCAGTGC